GGGTCGTGGAGGGGTCGTTGAGAGCCGACCTCAGGAGAAAGAGAGAATTCTAGCATTCCATTCGGTGCTGGTTAAGGCCGGGTTGGCGCAGGCATCGCCTAATATAAATCAGCTTCACGATTCACGATCAGAAACCAAACATTTCAAAACGAAATCTTTTAAAACGGTTATTCTCATAAGAATGGAACCTGTTGAAGTAATGTTGTAGTTATCAAAAAGCCTTAAAATGAACGTTATTGCAATAAGAAGTAAACAAACAGATCACAAATAAGGCTACAAACGTGAAAAATGATAAATTTTAGTTTGATGACTACTGCTTTTACAGTTATATACTGAACATACTGACAGCATTGTGAATATTATTACTCTAATCACTAATATAATAAATACAGATAAACGAAAAGACAACAATATAGAAATAATATCTAATACAAACAGCACGTCGTTTTAGTACAACAGTTCCCCACGCCTCCTCAGGCAACTAACTGGAAAAAACATGGCGGCTCCTATTTCAACGAGCGTCCACCACGAGCGCTGAAACCTTAGGGTCAGGCACTCTATGTAGTACATTGTAGCTCTTTGCCCAGAGTGGTCGGCCGAGGCAAGGCGCCTTTCATTACGTGAGTGCGGAGCACCCGAACAACTCCCTTTCAGGGAGCTGACTGGACAAGTGGCTTGGCCCAATGATAGCCCGCAAATAAGCGTTGGGCTACGGTACGTCATGACAGTCAGCTCCTTGAGCAGCCCTGCCCCAGATAATTTAAGTTTTATATCATATTAAGCATTGCGTGTTTTTTCTTTTCATCTTAAAAACAGATAACCAGCGATTTTAACTATGATCATGGTTATCATCAAGATATGTGAGTGTGTGAATTAATTTCGGTCACGTCAACTGAAGTCTTTATTGCCGTAAGTGAATTGCAAGTTATATCCCGAAAGGTACTGTGTTCCTGTTCGCTGTTACGTGCGACATGGCGCCAACATTTACATACGCCTGTGATGTTTTCCTCTCTAGGTATCTTCCTCAGTGATGCACTGCCCCAGCCAGGTATTAGAGTGTTCTAAGTAAGCTTTCGACTTGTCTTCCGATGTCTGATAGTGTAGTTGTACATTTTTGATTAATCTATTTTTATTCACCATTAAAATATATATTTGTTGAAGTAATTTTTACGTTCTTGTAACAAACAGTCAAGAACACAAGACACACAAATATGATCGATCGTGAGTAACATCGTCACTGCTATTGATACCGTCGATATAATTTAGTTTAGAAAGAATAGCAGTGAAATTTTCTCTTTAAAATTATCTAATGCATTCTCAGAGGTACTCATAATAAGTGAATATTCATCGTAGTCATCCTAATGTATTGGCGAAGTGTAACAATTTGGAACAAAAAAAATCATTACATCATTTACAGTTTTTTGTTAAATATAAAACTCTACCTTAATGAATTACACTACTTTAATGAAACAAAATAAATCAAATAAGAGCACAATTTAAAACGGGTCTCTTGGTCAACACCAGTCCATTATTTTATACTAATAACAATATTTGAGGAATATCTACATAGTGGTAAAGTCTAGCAGACAATACAAAACTTCTACTGTTTTATTACACTTCATTAAATATTTTATCTGTATTATCTCTGTAAAAATACGCTTTCCTGTTTTAAGAATCAATATTATGTGGCACCACTAGAAATACACATCATGTTATTGAATGCAGCTTTAGAGCACCGGATGATTTTTTGATAGATTTGGAAGTACAATGCACGTCAAAAATAAGTTATTTTTATTAACTTCTTATTACGATAGTTGAATGAAATTTATTTATTATTGTACCTGAGCAGTGATTCCTATTTCTTGTAATACGTTTGCATTTCGTAAAAATAACTTATAAATAAAGTAACTAGTCCCTGTTGTAATAAAAATATAGTCTTCTATAATTAAAAAAGTCAATGTTTTAAATTTCATTCAGTTTTGTTCATACGGAGTCCAAATCTAGCCACCACACCTATTTCTACACACATTGTTCATCATCCATCGTTAAAGCCAGTGCTAGCGGCGCGCCCACTTACAGGAAGTGCAGAAGTCGCCGTGGAAGCCCAGCTTGCACTTGCAGCTTTTGGGCAGCACGCACCAGATGTTGTTTCCGTTGGCGTAGTGGGGCTGCTGCCGCTGGGCCCCTGCAAATACAGATAGCCGCTACGACTTGACTTATTTATTTACGTATATATGTTTTAATTAGTCTTAGGAAGTAAGGTGCGGGGAGACGAACAAAAGGCTGCGATTCACTGAACCTCACTGTTACTCTGCTGTCAGAATTTCTACACGTTGGTAACCCTGGCACTGTGCCCAAATTATTTAGGGGTAAGTAAACGCCTTAACAAATGTTTTGTCACGTATTCAATAAATAAAGTATTCTATATATAATTTATGTAGAAATTAATTTACGAGTTAAAAATTCCTTTTTGTGTAATTGCTACACGTGCATGAAGACACTAAATAAACTTAACACTTTATTTGGTATGACATTATTTCTAAAATAAAAGTATTTAACATATAACTATTCGAAAAATTATAAAATATACTCGAAATAGTCTGCATAAAACAACATTAAATCAATTTAAGCAGTATTAAGCTAAAAATATCGAAAACGGAAGCAAACTCATTATTTTGTAATTAATTTTTTAGATATAGGTTAAAACTTAAACTGTCAAATTTCGAACAACGAATAAATAAATGATACCAAAGAGTAACATTTTAGATATTAAAATCAGAAATATTCCTTTATCAACATTGAAAAAATGTATTTTTAGAAAAAATATTAATTGATCATATAACTCCGTTACGAAAACAATTTTCTATTCCTGGGAATAATTTGACGACCTGAGATGTGACCAAAGCGAATTAGCTGCCGGCATGAGAATTGAGATGATGGAGATGGCCAGGTGATGACCTGTGCACATGAAAATAAAGTACGCCATGAGTTGAGAAGCACGAGAGCTCTCAGAACACACTCCGCAAACCCACTTCGTTCAACACAAATGCGTATTAAATGACCGAGTTTAGACCTTCAGTCTTCAACGGTGAGAAGTTCGTGGATATGCCGCTATACTAGGAGCAGCCGCGCCATTACAAAGCATATGAGGGATTCGCTTTCAATTACCTTCAAGACCTAATCCCCTAATTTTAGAACACAGATGGCAAAAAAATGTCGAATCACAAAACGTTCATCCGTTATCCTCTGAAACAGTAGATAGCATTTGCTGCCGTTAGTCAGCGTTATTCATAAAAGTCACATATGCTACTAACATGACAGTGCATTGTTTTCTATACTTGCGTCAATCCAGTCTTTTATTCTTTAATTCAAGTTTTGTATGTAATAACGTTTGCGTATTCAACACACAAACACAGAGAGCTGACGTGACGTTCCTTTCCTCAACAATTTCATGCCACTCAGATGCAATTGAAAAAGATGACAATTGAAAGTAAAAGAAAATAAATGAATTATCAAATATCAGAAAACTTAAATCTGCTGTTATTCTGGAATAAGATGTATATTGTATCAGAAAAAGAAAATTTTAAAATGTCACTGTTGCTTGATACCCTGTCACATTTTAGTTGTTCAACCCTAATATACAATAATTCACTCTATATACCATTTGAACGATGAAAATTGCAATCAAATATCGAAATCCTGTCTTCAAATGATTAGGAGTTTAACTGTTCACACTTGCAATAAAGTTTGTCACGCATGTCAAATGAATGCATGTCAAAATGTTGTTAAATCTCATAATATGTAAATTAATATATAGAATGTATTTAAGAAAAAACAAAAAAGAAGTATAAATCCTGAACCAGCAGAAATCTTGAAAAGTGAGGTTCGGAAAATTTAACTTAATATTTTGAAATCTTCTTATCGAGTCTTCTCGATGATAGGTATTCACACGTGTATCTATTATACATAATACTGATTATTGTAATAAAATTAGGATACAAAATTTTATATAACATTCTCACAATTGTTGATAACATTCTCACAATTAAAAAAATAGGGAGTCATTATCATGTGAAATTTCTCATTCTTTCAATACTCGAACACTTCCGTCTTGGAAATGTATCTTCTTTTAACGAATACAGTAAAATATATCAATTTTTAATGTCAGAAGTGTCTGATGGTTACTCAGAAGCTACCCCTGACTTTCAGGACGCGTTAACCCGAAAGGGATTGTACGGACTTAATAATATCAATATCACTTCAATTCTTGTTATATGATGTAGAGCATGTGATAGATACCTCCATTAAATTTTCAATTCATGTAACTTTTGAAATGATAACGCGCGAAACTGCCATTTCGTGTAGATGCGATTGCATTATTTCAATCTCAACTGTGATGATATAATTAGAAACGCCGCAAAACAGCCAGAAGAAGTGGTGAAAAATAAAATCCGATATCCAAAACCGCAGTAGTTTTGAACTTGCTGAAAGTGGTGAGATGGATTGATCTGAATAAATTTGAAAATGCATCAATATTAATGAAAACATTTTTAGACTTCTGAAACTTCAACTATTTTTCTTTTTCATGCTATCAACTAGAGATATTAAATTATTTAAAAAGAAACAAAAAATAATTTAACTTGAATGTGTCATACGTAAGAAATGTATCGCTTTGATTCTCTTCCACCTTTACAACAGTCCTGGAGTAAATGAACTAATTCCATTGGGTACTTAATGTTATTTTTTACTACCGGGCAAGCCGCTAATCGATATATATGATATGAACGATTCCAAATATTCGGAACTGTAATTATCGCAAACATTAGAAAACCTTACGGGATTATCTTTCAATTCGGTGCAAGTTAAATTTCTCTTAATCATGAACGTACTGACTGAAATTATAAAAAGCAAAGGATGATTTTTTTTATTTTCTCGAAAAGTTGGCTTCTTTTTGTCCTTATTTTAACAAATTAAGGTAGTATATCCGTAATCTATGTGATGAAAGATCTTTCTAGCTGTTTTGGTGACTTATTGCGCTTAATAAACGTACTAACAGAATGATAGAGAAAAATATTTAGCCCATAGCAAAGAAAAAAAACAATTTAATATAATGTGGAAGAAGTGTGGATGTGCGAGGAAAGCAAAAAATCTATAAAGACAGTGGTAATTGAAAACAATCCAACCAAACTTATCGACATTTGTGACAAATATCTCGTTGTAAGCAAAGTTTCTTTACGTAATTAGGTTCGTAATATTACACCAAATGTTTTAATGTTAATAAACTGTCATAAAGTTTGTGAGAAGGCCTGTAAAATAAGTAATTTTTGCTCAAAATATATAAATATAAAAAACAACATTTTAAAAATATTTTTTTATTTTAAAAAAGTTTTAAAAATCTCCTGATTAAGTTTCTTTTCGAAATTAAATTGTTAATTTCTGACGTTTTATAGAACTCAATGTGTAATTTGTGAAGAAAAAAAAAGGAATCAGATGTGAAGCTCAGGGCTTGCGACTCACCGTCGATGTGCAGGCGCAGGGCGACGTCGTGGGCGCCCACCTGCAGGTCTCTCACGTCGAAGGGCAGCGGGTCCTCCCACTGGAAGAGCGCGCCCTCCACCCACACACGCACGCGCCCGCGCACCACGTCCAGCGCCACGCCGTACTCGCGCTCCGCCGCCCACGCGCCCGCCCAGCCCAGCGCCTCCTGTCGCGAGCAGAGCAGGCGACGTCAAGAGCAGGGAGGGCGCACACGCCAATGGGAATCGGGAGTAAATAAAGAGTGGAAGCCCCACATATTAGTCGAAACAGGCGAAAAAATGGTGGAAGCCCCACACCAATGTGAATCGGGAGGAAAACGGCGGAAGCCCAACACACCAATGTGAATCGGGAGGAAAAAGGGTGGAAGTCTCACACACCAATGTGAATCGGGAGGAACAAGGAGTGGAAACCTTACACACCATTGTGAATCGGGAGAAAAATGGTGGAAGCCTTACACACCAATGTGAAATGGGAGTAAAAAAAGAGAGGAATCCCCACATACCAGTGTAAAGCAGGAGGAAAAAAGAGTGGAAGCACCACACACCAATGTGAATCGGGAGGAAAAAAGAGTGGGATCCCTACATACCAGTGTACAGCAAGAGAAAAAAAGAGTGAAAGCCCCGTACACCAATGTAAAGCGAGAATGACAAAACCGTGGGAGCCCCATAAGCCAATGTGAAGGGAGAGGAAGAAGACCCAGATGCCGCACATGCCAGTGATTGATTGATTGAACTAGAGATTGCGGCCGCGTTAACTGCTAATGTCATTAGTGCCGTAAGTGTAATGCATGTTTTCGCTCGGGAGGTGGCGATGATCTTGTCTCGCTGGATGGCGAGATCAGGCGCCGACTTACTGTTGGCTAGCGGGATTTTCCCCAACCAGGTATCTCCCACCAGCGGGACACCGTCCCAGCCGGGACGAGCTCTCGACCCGATATCTCGAAGTTCCCGACCGATATCTCGCGCACGCGCCAATGGGAAGCGAGAGAGAAAAGCATGCAAGCCACACACGCACCAACGTGAACCGAAATAAGGCGTCACAAGACAATGTGAAGTGGAAGAGAAAAGTATGGAAGCTACGCATCTCATTTTGAAGCGAAGGAAAAAACATGAAGGGCGCACACAATGTGAAGCGGAAGAGTTTGGAGGCCGCATGTGTGTGTGTTCACCATAGTAAAAAGCACCATAATAATTACTTTTCAATGAACAATACTATTTTATGTGAAAATACAAATAATTTTCTTTTAATTTAGCTTTTCCTGGTACCCGCACTGCATAGCATGCTTCAGTGGTCAGAAGCGATGAGAAATATACTCTCGATGTAAAATTAAATTGACACGTCAATAGGTCGTCATTTGAGTCGAAACATGAGCTGCTCGACCGTGAAGATCGACCATCGTAAAATGCTGTAAAGTACACTTCTGGCTGTTCGAAGTTGGTACCGAGTATGAAACAATTTTCACTTTCATAACAATGGTTTATAAAATGGGGAATGTTTATCCGTGCAAGCAGCTAGTAATTATAACAAAAAAATTATTGCTAATAATAATA